TGTGGAGTGTAATCTCCACCTGTACGCTTCTGGTACTCAGGACCCGCCCGGTTCGACTGATGGTGTTCCTAGTTGTCACAGCGACTGTCCGGAAGGATCTATCCAGTATTGGCGCACCATTGGGAGATCCCGAGCTTCATAATGTCGCCCATGGTTTTCCTGCTCGGGGGGGAGATCACAGGTTGTATTGGTGGCGCAAAACCGGTTTTGTAAACTGTATATGGTGGAGACATACAAGCCTGTAACAGTTGCCACACGTTCAGCAGACTTGCCAGCTTTAAATCGATCACCAACCCCCTTACAGTTTTTTAAATGAAAGTCTCAGTAACTTGATACTGCTTTCGTTTCCTACTGAATTCCATATTTGGAGGCTTCAAATCTGTAGGCCAGGCCTACGTGACCTCATGAACACAAATTCGCTACTCAAATGACGTGACAAGTGAGTACCCGTTAGCTGTGGTTGTTCTTTAGTTGATAGTGGCAAAGGCGACCAATCAGCGAATTGCATTGTTCGAATGAGGGCAATCTAGCAGGTTCAGATCATGCTTCAATGGAGAATGTAAACAGCACACAACCATGGAAACTTTGGTCAGCGCTTTCATTTTGACGAATATTTCGCGTTTCTTATGCCTCTGAGTATAAATACAAAATACATACACACCAGGGGCGGCATTTGGGCTAAAAAGTGGGCGTGCACAATTAATTAAGCTATCACAGGCTGACGATAGTCAAGGGAATAGTAAATGGGATGGTGTATAGTTTTAGGATCTTTGGTTTGGTGAGGGAGGAGCTCGTGCTTTCATTTTCATTCCTTTTACTTGTCAATTTGATTTCTAGAACTAAATCTCTTTGTTAGCTAAACATCCTGCATTAGAACTGAACACTCAAGTAACAACTCTCCACAACAAAACCATTCAAAGACACAAATCATAGACTTGAGTATGTTACGTTCACCTCCCTCAGTTTCACGGTCACAGAGTCACTTAATATAGCCTAGTGGCAAGACAATGAACCTATCAGAATTCACTTGAGCACTCGGCTGGATTGCTCCTGGGCTCACATAATTTTAGCGTAGAATAGTGTACAGTATATGGCGTTTATTTTTAGACTGCCTTCTGTGGGCTATGTTTCGGCTCTATTGGGCAGGAGCACATTTGAGATGTGCCGACTTATTAATATTAATGTACCGCCAAACTCGCTACGAGTGTCGTCATCGCTTAGGTTTTCCCAAAGATCGATTTATAGGTCAGGTTACCACTGTTGAATCTCCTATTACGTTTAGTTAGAGCGCGTAGGCTTTGGCATGGCACAGTATATGTAGATGTTTTACAGCACCGTAGACACAGAAATGACAGTTACAGAGCCAGCAAGGCCCTTGTTTTGATATAATATTTGACTAGTATTTGTTTCTGGTGTCTTTTATTTTATTTTTGTGGGTACTTTACGTAAAAGAACAATAAACAATTTTGGGCGGCACTGCACGGCCGTGCTCTATGGACAAACCGCGCCTGATACACACAGATACTATCTATCTATCTATCTATCTATCTATCTATCTATCTATCTATCTATCTATCTATCTATCTATCTATCTATCTATGTGGGCGTATCTCTCTCTCTCTCTCTCTCTCTCTCTCTCTCTCTCTCTCTCTCTCTCTTTAATAATGATATATACACTCACGGTAATTTTGAAATCAACAGCAATAGAAAATAATATCCTCGATTATTATTCTCCGTAAGAAAATCTATTGATTGGACGAAATGCTTCTATTTCTTATTGGAAAAGAATTTCGAAGGCATGTCGACTAAATCTTCATTATCGACCTTCAAATAAATAAGTCTTGTACTTTTCAAGATAACGAAACAGTAGGAAGAGTTACGAGAATCGGCAAACAGGTATGGGACTGTTGCAGGCCAGAGTGAGAGAGCGAGCGAGCGAGCGAGAGAGAGAGAGAGAGAGCGAGAGAGCGAGAGAAAGAGAGCGAGAGAGAGAGAGAGAGAGAGAGAGAGAGAGAGAGAGAGAGAGAAGGCATTGCAAGTGGACTGTCCTGTTTGCGATTATTAACAAACACATCGACAAGCCTGCACATAGAGGCCTTGTGCTAGTGATGCAAGGATGGTGACTATAATATAATCAAGTTGTCCGGGGCTATTATCTTAGCGAAGCTACTTAACATAGGCCCTAAACACCACACAGTGCAATCTAGAGTACCGTCCTACATAATAATTATGGGCTCGTGACAGCATCTGCAGGAGTATATACTCATGACGTCAGTGGCATTATACAGGGTGCCCATTGGCACGAGTGGGTCGGGTCGGGTCGGGTTGGTTTGCTAGCCAGATTGAGGGCACCAAGGGGCTATCGTGGCACAAAACGATCACCCGACTCGTCGCATCAAAAACAAACGAGACTGTTTTCAGGCGACGATTCGGGCGATCGACCCGACCCGACCCGATCACATCCGCAACGAGCACCCGGTATTAATAGGCTTTCTTTCTCACTTCTCTATCAACAGGTACTACAGGTCTCCTCTGATCTGTGTGATTTTCCGGCAGATTGAGCAAGCTGAGAGAGTCGAATGGAGAACGCCTGCAGCTTAAATTGCAGTTAGTGAAAGAGATATATTGTGAACAAAGGTTCAAAAAGTGAAATTTGTCGCAAGTATGACATTCATCATCGCAGTTTGAGTTTGAGCAACCCCCTATTAAACAAAATGTCGGGCTAGATTGAAGAAAGTTCGGCGATCCCCAGATTTCAGCTTCAGCGCACTCCGCTATTTATATGTGTATGCGCGTGTGCGTGCGTGTATGTGTGTGTGTGTGTGTGTGTGTGTGTGTGTGTGTGTGTGTGAGAGAGAGAGAGTGTGTGTGTGTGTGTGTATGTGTGTGTTTGTGTATGTGTCTGTGTCTATGTGTTTGTTTGTGTGTATGTGTGTACGTGTGTTTAAAAAGAAAAGTGTCATATTATAAGCTTTAAGGTGTTACTAAAGACAATAAACTCGAATGGCATTTCTACACTTCTCTCCTAGCCTGTATAAAAGGGAACAAAAGACTTTTTTTTTTCCTGTGGATGCTAATTTATTTTGAAGTTGATAAATCATTGCTGTCCACATTTTATCAATCAATCATGGTGAGTATGATTAATTTCTGTTTGACACATGGGCCGGAAACACATGACTTCAACATAAAGTAAGATTGAATCAATTTATACGGAAAGCAAGCAAAATCTCAACATCTACATTCCCTTACTTCGATGAATTATACATTATCGTTTACGCAAAAAAAAAAAAAAAAAAAAAAAAAAAATGCAATCTTTTTGGACAACCAGTATCCCTTGTTCCCTCAGATTATAATATCAATTAGAAGTAAAAGACCTAGACTTCTGATCTGAAGCCAAGAAAGATACAGAAAATCGTTTTTTACCACCTTCTGTTAAACTCTTATCATCAATAATTGCCTCGTAATATAAGTATTCCTATGACGTTTACAGCATGTAATATCAGAATATCATTTGTTTACAATCAGAATACTGATAATGTATCTAGTCTATCTTTATCATTGTAAACATTATTGTTTATTAAGTATTATGCATGCGGCTCTGTGTTTGTTTCTGAGTGCAAGCAAGGCTGTTATATTATTTTGTTTGTGTGTACATGTGTGAGGAGGAGATGATCTGTGGGTGTATGTTGTGTGTGTGTGTGTGTGTGTGTGT